CGTATATGGAATGAGGGAACTTCCGGAGTCGTTTTCGACCTCCGGTGCACATACCAATGCTGGCAACAGGAAGAAGAGCAGGTTAAACTTGCCTTTGACAATTTGGTCGAGTGGATCGGCGTGCTGGAAGGCGGGCAGGATCCCACCGATCGCTTCATGAATTTGGGGAGATCCCTACTGAATACATTTCGGATGCGGCTCACGATGGCATCCGATCCCGGCATCCGGCTTTCCAAACTGCGCGCCCGTCTTTACACCGCTGTTCACCAGACGGACACCTATGCGAGGGCAGTCCAGCCTCTCGTCGATCGGCGAGAAACCCAACGCACTTTGCGATGCCAACAATGCCATACCTATGGGCACGAGGCATCTAAATGCAACGTGCGCAGCAGAGGGAATCACTCACAATACAGGCGCCCATGAAAAACGGCAGTGGGGCTGCCGCACGCCGCTCATGAATGCTGACGACGGGAGCTCCATCCATTCCACCACCTCCCACCATTACGCACAGGCAGCGCACCGCACCGCCGACGCTCCACCCGATCTTTCAAATTGCCCGACGCAATCGTCGGGAAGGGCAATGGAGCTTATCCGCCAACGACGCTCGACTGTGGTACGACGAATCACCGACATCCCCGCTTTGGGCCAGTTATATGAGGAGCGCGAACGAGGTCGCTCGAGAGATGTGGGCGGCGTCGACGTGGGAGCAGAGAATGTCCCCAGCAGGGCAATTCACGACTTTTTGCTGCACGCACGAACAGCCGATGAACGAGGAGAGCTGCGCGGTCTTTTTGATGGCAATCGAAGTGGCGCCATCGACCCGACTGCAGTACGCCAGGATGCTGCGGTCCATGTTGGAAATGAATCGAACCCCGCTGGATATGGTGATTCTGGGGTTACAAAAAATTGCTGCGCGATCCGAGACGAAGCAGGCGCGCCCCTTGACAGAGGAAGAGATGAATCAAGTTATCCGCGGCCGGACCGATTGGAAAGAACGTGTTGTCTTACGACTTGTGTGGATAACGGCGAGTCGTTGGTCCGAGATTGCGGCCTTAACCCCCAAAAATTTTATAATGGAGGCGGACGGGACCATAATTTTGGATTGGTCCGTGGCACCGAAGACGGCGAGGGCGGATCCCCACCGCGCCTCGCGGTTCGTCAGGATACGAGGGCAGGACGCCTTCGACACTATAAAGCTATGCAGGACACTTCAAGAAAACGAAAAGCTCACGAATCTGACGACTGCCCACGTGGAACGAGCTCTGGCTCCTTGGAATGCCACGGCGCATTCCATAAAACGCAGTGCGTTGAGGCACGCTACTGAAATCGTGGAGGCATACAATTTGGACCCACACGTGATCTCGCAGTTGGCGAAGCACGTCAATCCGTTTGACCTTCCCCAGAATACTGTTCGGTATTTGTGGAAGTACACCACAATGCTGACCCAGGTGCCGTCGCTGGTCGCATTGATGTGAAGGGAGAAACGGCGGAAGGGCAGGAACCCTGGTTGAGAGCGGAGGAGCGTTTTTTCCATGATTTTAATCACAATCATGCTGCTACAATAACGAGACGCGCGACAAGGACGCGTCTGACCACTCCACAAGAGGAACGAACCATCCCGCCACAGCAGCAAGTTAATGTGCCCGTGTTGAATCTAGAGTGGATCATGAGTCGGTTGAACCCGGCTACCTTGGAGAGACTCATGCAAGTTTGGGGACTCGTCGGGCGGTCCCCTTTCTCTCCGTCTTCCTCCGGTAAAGCGCGCGAAGGCTCACGGAGGATTTCAGTCGCTGACGCGCGATTGTTACGAAAAGCGGGAATAATCGAGGACGCTTCGTCCACAATAACAGGCGGATGGATAATACCTTTCTCGGTTGTGGAGGAGAAAACCACCGGTTTACGACGAAGATGGATCGCGTGGCCACGCGACAAGAACAGAGACGACCCTTATGAGGCGAATGTTTCTCTTTTACACATTTCCCATTATTTGCCGCCTGTGATGGCTGAGGCCGCTTCCTGCCTGGACTTAAGGGCATCCCCTTTTTTCAAGTCTTTACCGCGGGAGACTCGGCATCACTTCCGATACCGCGTGGAGGACGGCACGCTGGTGGAGCTGACACGGCTCCCAATGGGATAAAAGGCCAGCCCAGCAATTCTCCAGATCATTATTACCTCGGCAATTGCGGGGGTGACGACGGTGGTTCACCCCCTCTGGGCTGCACCTCCATTGGTGCGTGTCGACGTTTGGATCGGTAATATACGCATTGCGGGGTCGAAAAGCGGTGCGACATTGTGGGAGGTCCAAGTGCTTCGTAATGCGGACGGCCGTCACGCCACGATGGGGGAGGATCGCGAATTGGGCGCCACGCATTACACCTTCCTGTGGGTGCTGTTTGATCATACTCACCAGGCGGTGTCCCTGAGTGACGAGTTTGTCCGGTCTGTGCGCGCCATGCCGGCGCTCAATTCTTTAACCATCACGGAAATGGAGGTTACGGCGTCACGCTTTTTGTATGCGGCGGCCATTTTGGGCACGCAATTATGCGACTACTACTTTTTCATCAAGGCAGTGCGACGACGATTATCGGCAGTTAACCGGGGGATTGTGCAGGAGTCATCCCTGAAGAACGTTCCGCCGGCAGCGGTTGGTTTGGGCGAGAGATTGCGACACATGATCGGGAATAATCATAGGCGAATCATCAAGCCCACTGAAAAGGCATCGGCCGCCATCATCGCGGATGCATCGCTCCAGGGATGGGGAGCCGTTTTTATTCCAGACTCCGGCGACGTTAAAATTGCCGGAGAAAAATGGGAGAGGAAGCCTTTTCTTATCATGCAGGCCGAGGTGCGCGCGGTACGCTTAGCCTTATCGGCCTTTTCCGCCATCTTGCCACCCACCATGGACATTTGGGTGGACAATACTTCGCTGCGAATAAAGGCAGCTCAAAATCACACGCCATGACGTGGGAGCTGCAACAGATATATGAGTTTTTGGACTCTCGCGGAATAAAGGCATTCTTTGCTTACTTGCGGTCTGCACAAAAGCAACCCCGCAGACGGCATATCACGCGGTCGTGTTTTTACACTTCAGGAATTGGCGAAGGGGAGCGGCGGGGCCTTTTGGCCGGAGGACCCCAAAGTCTGCCAATTCGTAAGTAATAATATTCAAATCCTAACTGAGGACAAAGCACCATGCTAGTGGTCCACAGAATTCTATATGTTGAATGAAAAGAAAACATTGAAGCAATTAACTAACGAACCTTTTTTCTTGACTTGTTTGGTTTCCATAGATTATTTCAGGATCCGGCCAGCTGCCCGGAAGATTATTCCCTCGTGATAATGGTGCAAGTGAAGGCCGTACCGGGGAAAGTGACGTACATGCCAAAGACTCCTCCAGCGTGTCGTCTGTCGAGAGCAAACCCACAGGACAAATATTATTGACAGTGCAACCAACGGGACAAAGTCCACCAACTACAGCAGGTGACACATAGAATTCAACGCAAACAAATGAAAAGACGACAACCTCAGGAATCGGAACGGACACTGAAGCACCTAAACCGTATTCAAAGAATGATGTGGCAGAGCAATACGATGAAGACAGAGACCCATCAGATTTGATAAGGAGTGCAAATACAGGCCATCAGACAGATACAGCATCATCACCCATCTCTACAAGTGGCAATGGTGATTTCCGGGGAATGGCGAATGAGAATGGTGACGATCCTGAAAGGCACAATCCCAAAGGAACCCTCGACGACCCCGCAGATGGTAATGTCAACGTCGGTACTAAAGCCAATGAACCAGCACCAGAAACAGTGAAAACGGTCACCGCTCAACCAAACGCTACGGTGACGCCTGGCGACAGTGACGGCAGCACCGCGGTTACCCACACCACCTCCCCTCTTTTGCTTCTTCTTCTTGTTGTGTGTGCGGCTGCGGCTGCGGTGGTGGCCGCGTGAGAGTGAGGGAGAGAGAGCCGTGCACCGCCCGCACACACACTCGTCCTTCACCCACTCTCTGTGTGTGTCCCCTTGCATGGACTCTCGCCCTCACCTCATCCCACGGAGCACACACATAATGTGCCCATTGTATATATTGCATGCACACCCATGCAGGCCCGTTGGTGCTCTCTTTTGCACGACACGCACCGCTGCCGTCCTGCCTGGCTGCATGGGCGGAGCACCGTAACTGTTTCTGTTTTGTTTTTATTGCATTGAGTGGGCGACCTCTCTCTCTCTCTCTCCCTGTGTGTGTGTTTTGCTTTACGGGAGCCATGAGAGTGTGTGCGCTGGTCCTCTCACGCTTCGGCTTTTTTGTTGTTTTTCATTTTTTTACTTGTGTTGTGGTTGAGTGCACCCATTCTGCTTCGTTTGATTTGCGGCATGCGTTGACTGCGGACGCCTGAATTTATTATTTCCTTTTTTTATGAAGAGAGTGTGAGTGTTTTGTATTCTTGCGAAGCAAATAAGTTTTCTGTTACGTAAAGCATGTGTCAGTTGATCCACGTCACCCCATCGTCTGCGGTGCTGCTGGTGCTTCTGCTTGTGATGATTTTTGTGATGTGTTGTACCGACAAGCGCTTTACTGCCAGCCTGACGTGCTCCTGCTCCTCTGACAAGGCGATGCGTGCGGACAGGGCGAAGTCGATCCCGGCTGTGGTGAGGGACGTGCCTTTTGGAGCAGAGGGTGCGTCGCAGACATGCAGCGTCTTTGGGAGGAATGGATGGGCGCCCACCCGCATCGATGTGTCGACAAGGGACCCGGATGGTACCAGGAAGTATTGCAGCTCAGAGCGGTATTAAGCAATGAATTCATTGAATGAGAATTGCGACTGTAAAGATGATGTTTTTTCGTACTGAGGAAAAGAGAATTTTTGATTCTTGATCCTTTTCAGCCACTGTTCTTTAATGGCCTGCGGGCTGTCCGTAGCGATGTGGCCAATTTTTCCTTCTTGAACGGTGCTGTCGTGCGAGAGGGTGTGTTCCCAAATAGTCGGATGCTCAGTTGTAGAGGACGGCGGCATTCCCACAGCGTGTGCGGCAGGGCCTCCCGTGGATTGTCGGCGGCTCAGCGGCTGGTGGGGCTTGCAGCAGAGGAGTGGCTGAAGCGCTACGGCTGTCATTGGAGCTTGCAGAGGTGCGTTGTCCGTTTTTTGCTCGTCGACACGCTTGACATTTTCGGTAATGACCTGCGCGTGAGGCACTTGTTGGGGAGACCGTGGAGCTGTTGCGGGATCCACATGCGAGGCCTTCTGCAACGATTGGAGTGCCAGGGTTAGTGCGTCGGGCGTGTGCCTTCATATTGTGGACGGACGAGAAGACGCTGCTGCAGCTTGGGCAGGACGACGTTGATCTGCTGCTCGTCGTTCTACGAGGAGGTGCCGTGGACACGCCAGGTGGAGGTTCTGGAGGAGGTCGGGGCGGTCCTGCATCTTCAGTGAGAGGAAGGGGCGGCACCACCGACATAAAGGGTTGCTTGTGATCTGCAGGGCACGTGCCGGTCAGCCGAAGAGTGGGCAGGAGGACGTCAATCCGCCGCTCGCCGGTCGGCAAGGAGTCGCGGTGCTCACGTCGGGAAGAGGTTCCAGCGGAGGCAGAGGCGGGCCGGTCACTGGAGTGAGGGAGGGACGGCACCACCGACACAGAGGGTTCCTTGTGATCTGCAGGGCGCGTGCAGGCCTGTCGAAGAGTGGGCAGGAGTCGCATCGCGCCTGTGCGCAGTGCCGCCACTCGGGGACCGATGTCCGGGTCAACACCAGGAATAGAGTCCTCGCCACACCGACAGGCGCCTCTCACGCGGTGTGCGCGGCTTCCTTTTCCTCCTGGACATCCTTCCATTATAACCTCTTGACGGCGGTAAGGAAGTCCGCGTGCCAGGCATTGACGCAGTCCTGCGAGAGGGATCGTGGCCTGACGGCGTCGGCGTCCGCTGTCACGTTGCGTGGGATTCCGCAGTGTCATGGGAAAATGTAGAGCCAGCTGTGTGACCTCGATCTGCCAGTGAAAGCTGCACGGTACAAATCTCCTCGCTGACGTCGTCGTGCACCGCCAGCGGGCCAAGGCGGAGTGACTCCATCGCCGAGAGGGAGTCTGTGGCGACAGGAACTCGTGTGGGCGATTGGGATGCTGCTGCCAGGCGGGGAACTGAAAACTGTCTGAGGCCATGCTCAGTGGCAGGACACTCCGCTCGGCAGGTGCATGCAAGGCTGCCAGCAGCTGTGCGGTGAGGCCCCACAGGCAGCCCGGCTGTCCGGGGAGTCAAATGGCAGCGCCGCGGATCCACAAGCATGCTCAGCAAGAGACAACAAGCCGTCCGTCCAGCGGCCTCCGTCATACGGTCCCAGAGGGTTGCAGGCCGCTTCAAGGGCCGATCGTCTGACACCGTCCAGAGCGTCCTTGGCGTGCCGTGGCCGGAAGACGCCCACCCCGCTGCAGCCCACAGTGTCCCGGGCTAAAACTCGGCGCTCAACAAGAGGGGCGCGGATGTAGTCCGGGGAGATCCTCATGTGGCTGCGGACGCGTCGCAGTTCCTTGAGGACGGCATCTCCCGGCAGCGGAATGGTCGTCGCTGCCTTCCCAGGTATTGACGAAGGTGTGGTTTCCGAGCATACTGCGCCACGCACGTCCTCAATATAAAGGAGACGTGTGAGGCGTTCGTGCCGTGTGGGTGCGCGGAACCCAACAATCCTCCGCAGCGGTGCTGGACTGGCGGCCAGGTGGACAGAAGTATCCTTCGCTGATACGCGTGGGACGAGCGATGCCGTGCAGCTGTCGCCGTGCCGCACTTCCAGGCTGTGGAGGCGACTGGGGTCGGACACGGTGCGACTGCCTCACCGCCGTGGTGCAACGCACCGTGGACGCACCCAACCCGAAGGGATCGCATGGTGTGCTGGGACGCACCAGCTCCTGCGCCCAACCGCAGCTGACGGCGGCGTGGCACGGTCTGCCCTGCAGCGGCGGTGACGTGCGAAACAAAATCGAGGTGTCGATCAATCGCATTGCCGAGCAGACGCACAGGGTGGGATTGACGCGTGGCTTCCCACCGCCCAGACGATGGTCGGCCGTGTCCTCGTCAGACTGTCGGTGTGAGGCGATGCAGAACAGAGCGGCACCGCTCCTGTCGGCGCTGATACTCAGGCAGTGCTCGGCAGCCCATGTGGCCACAAGTGACACAGCAAATGGCATTGCCGCACCACAGGCACGGAGGTCCGCACACAACGCAACAAGCGTGCGGTCGTCAGCGTGCATGAACGCCGACGCAAAGTGAATGCTGCCCAGTCGGCTTTACGCATGACAACGACGGCATGTTTCCGTCGTGGCAGCATGCCTGCCTGTCGCGGGATGCCGTCCTCCGTCCCTACACTGTGGGATGGCAGATGGCGACCCGACTCCATGCAAACAAGTGGACGTCCAGTGGGAGACACGCAGTACGCGTTGCGCAGTCGCGCCGGGAAACGAGACGTGGCGGCCGCTGATCCGCGCTGCCTGTGCCGGGTCGTCGGAAAGCTCAGACTCCATGCCGCTTGGGGTGGCGGCGAGGTCCTCTCCTGACGCCGTTGAAGGTGAGCAACCGTCCCGCAGCCCATGGTGTAGATTCAGGTCAGCCGCAATGGGCGCTGCAGGACCAAGGCGACGAATGGTGCTCGCAAAGTGAGCAGCGTGGGCAATTGCCGATGGAAGGTTGCAGAGGTTCCCAACGTGCATGCTGGGGCAGGCCGGTGGGCACACGCGGAGGGCGGTGGTCTCCACGCAGTTGGTGCCAGCAGAGACAGGCGCTCGCACGGCAAGGTGTGGCGCACCAAGAGGGCCACGCCACCGGCACGCACACTGCAGGCCTGGTGGAGGCCACTGCAGCCAACGAGCCTCGTCGCCAAGAGCATTCCTGCATAGCACTGTGCAAGTACTTGTGTGTGTGCTGCAGGAGCGGGAAAGAGGAGGAGCACAGGGAGGCACATCAGCACAGCAAGAGGCAAAGCTGGATGGCAGCGATGCATGCGGTACGGCACAACCTCAACAATCACACACGGTGGCAGCAAACACCCATTCAAAAAAATAAAAAGAAGAAAACAAAAAAAAAACACGGCGGCAGGGTGTGGCTGTGTGTGTGGCGCTGCGGGTGTCTGCCAGCCCTGACCGCAATAAAAACAAAACAAGAGGGAAAGAAATGTGTGCTCCGCTCCACAGGCCCTCGTCGCACGCCCACACGTCACGACTCCCTCAGCGCGCCGTTCGTCGCGGCCCCTCCTCATGCGTGCAGCAGGCGAGGCGCACAGGGCCGTCGTCATGAGCGTGTCGGTGGGTGTGCGAGTGGAGCAGTTGGGCGGGAAACACACGGCACCCCTCACAGGAAGAGTGCAGCAAGAAACAATTGAAAAGAGGGAAGAGCAGAAAAAACGTCCATAGTGATTGCCCCCAAAAGCAAAAAAGAAGGAATAAGGGGATGAGAGATCAGAAAAAAAAAGTAAAATCAACCAAAAAGAAGCAAACAGCAAAAGGATTTTAAAATAAGCAAAAAAAGAAAATTTATGAGTGAAATTTGTTCCCATGGGAATAGTATTTCTGTGCTCGGAAGGTCGCAAGTGTCCCACGCGGCAGCCAGTCACTCCTCACAGAGCCGCAAACCCCCAAAATCCCAACAGAAGGAGCAGCAGCGGCAGCAGTCCGCTCCCACGCATGATGCCGCCATCGTTGTTATTCTCCTGCGACAATTTTCCGAGGCTGCTGTTGAGTGCCGCGGCATTCACGTCCCTGTTCTGTGGCTGGACCTCTTCCTCCTCTCCCTGCACATCTTTTCCTCCTGCCGTCTCCCCATCCGCACCAGAGCCGACGCTCACCTCAGGAGTTTGGGGTGATCCATCTCCCTGAACCGTTTCTCCACTCCCTGTCACCACCGTTGGGTCGGCGTCAGACGAGGAAGAGACATCCACATTTTTGTTTCCACTGGGAGAGGTTCCAGATGTCAGCTGGTTTACGGGCTCCTTTCCTGAAGAAGTCGCGGCGGTAGACGTCGCTGGTGTGGATGCGCCGCCAGCACCCGCACCATTGCTACCCTTCGGCTGTCCCTGCTCCGACGGCAGTTGCCCGGCAGAATTGGACTGGGTCACGGTTCCTTCCACAGGTAATCCACTTACCGCTGGTGAACGAGGAGGTGTCGTCGATGTATTCGGATCTTCCGGCTTCGGAATAGTAATTGTATTTTTGGCAAGCCATGCAATCTCTTCGGAAGTCAACGGGCGGTTGTACAGCAGGACATTCGTCACGGTCACAGACACGTCTTCTTGGCTCCCTGTGCTGCCTCCATCCCCTCCAATGTAGAAGTGTGAGATCTTTTTATCTTCCTTACCTTCCAATTGGCACTGCACATTCTCGCACACACTTTTACCATCGAAGTACGCAGAGCCCTGTTTTTCGTTCTTTAGCACAATGGCCACTTGGTGCGTTTTCCCTGGCCCCCAAGTGCTGCTGAGCTCCTTGTTCTGTCCGCCACCGCACAGCACTGCCCGCTTCTTTCCGCTGTCGTACGACAGTCCAAAAACTTTGTTTTCTCCTTGGCCTTCCCAACGCGCACCCAACAATGGAACGCTGCCACTCTTCGGCTCACCGTCGATGGACACCGTCGCCACAAGAGTGAAGTTGTAGTTCGCAAAGTGGTACAGCTGATTCTCCCCCTGACTGCCAACGGGCCACTCCGCCCACGCTCCCCGGAACGTCACTCCATCAGAAGACCCTGCTTTCTCTGCTACCGTTGCCGCTCCTTCTTCCGTTCCTTTCTTTACTGTGGCGTTCACCCCGAGGTACTCGTCCCTCCATGTCTTATCAGAGAAGTTGCCGGACAAAAAGCCAACCAGCCCATCCGTGATCTTAGTGTTTTTGCAGGCACTGTCAGGTGAGGTAGCCTGCACAGCGCTCTCAGAAGGGCACAGCTCGGAGACACGTTTGTCCACTTCCTTCCAGGTCGCCAGCACCTCCTTCACCCGCTCCAGCTGCGCAGTCAGACGCACAGACCAAAGACTGTTTGATGGTTTCCCCCCACCGCCCTTCTTCTTCTCGTACAGCGCAATCAACTCCTCCTTCTTCTCCTCATCAGTTGTACTTTCACTACTTTTGTACAACAGGGCGCTGGCGGCAACATCTCCGTCATCCTTCCCGGATACCGGCCCAATATCAACAATGTGCGTATTGTCCGTCAGCCAAAGATGGAGTTCGCTCTTTTTATTTTCTTTTTGTTTTTCTTTGGCATACACCGGCAGAGTAACGAGCATCACATTTTTCTGCTCAGCTCCAGTGCCAAAAGTCGCTGTGGTGAACCCGCTCCCAACGGCCTTCCCTTCTCCGTCCCGTTTTTTGTTGCCCCACACACGCGAGAGTGTCCCGAGTGCCTCCGTCCACGACTCCCCCTTGTCACCGGACTCGTACACCCTGCGGCGGCCATCATCACACGCAGTCATCATCATGAGTTTGTCCTTCTCCCGCTCCACCACGGAGGGATCACTGCAGCCATCGGCAGGCATCTCCTTCGACAGCGCCCAAATCTCAGCATCCGAGGAGTACAAGATCAGCGAAAAGGTAGTTTTCTTTCCATCTTTCTCCTTCTTCTTTTTCGTGCCTTCCAGCGGAAACACAAGTGTACCGTCCTTCATCTTAACACCCGATCCACCGCCTCCAATCAGCTGTGTCAAGGATGAAAGTTGTTCGCCGAAAGGTGTCGTCGGGACAGCATTGGTATCTTTCCAGTCAACTTGTTTGTTACTTTCTTCATTACTTACTTCCCCTTTCACCAGCAAAAGTCCCCAGTCATCTGAACCACCATCTTGACCAACAGCAGCAGCATTCCGGCTGTATTTTCCAACAAGCATGTAAATATTACTTTCCTTCACAACCGTTGTTGGCCGGCTCACATCTACTTTCTTGCTTGGGGAAGCGCCTTCCTCCAGAACTTGTATCACTCTGGCATCCTTAAGCGCTTCCTCCGGTGCGTTATCGTCTTTTGTCGTGAGAAGTTCGGATGCAATGCCAGTAAAGACGTTGTTTCCATCCTTCTTGCACTGCACCTCGGCAACGGCAAATACGTCACTCCTAACTTTTAAAAGGCCGGGAATTCCAAACGACTTCAGATTTCCATCACCTTCACCCTCACTGATGCCCTTCCATTCAAACTTTGGATCAGACGACTGATCCTCCTCACCTTGCGCAGCTCCACAAGTACTGCAGCAAATCATCACGACGAGGAGAAGCAGCACCGCGGAAGTAAACACACGCCGGGACATGTTGGGCCTCTGCCGCTCACTCTCTCCTCCTTCCCTCCTCCCTCCGCGCGATCCGGTCACGCCGCGACGGTTGTGTGTGCGGGGTGCCTTCACTGCAGCAACAAGTGAGAGCATATAAATATGTGTGTGTGGGCGGTGTGTGTGCTGTTGTTCCTTTCAGAGCCTTCGAATTTCACAGTGGCGATTAGCGTTTAGTCGTAACTTCCTTCCTAGCGTGTGTGTGCGTGAGGCGGAGAGAGAAGAGAAAACAAGCCAAGCAAAGAGGTGAGACAGCGAGCACCGCCACCCATCCACACTGTGAGTGGCATCACCATCATCCCCGCCGCAGTCACTCCCAACAACAACAACTCACGCACACAGACACAAGGAACAGCAGAAGGAAGATGACTGCACCGGGAACACACAGCGACTGTCACCACCAGCAGGAGCCACGGCGGGCGCTTCTGCCACGCGTCAGCACACACCGAACGACGCCCACACATAAAATAACCAGCGGGTGGCAAAAGACCACAGCCGCCCTCCGCAGCACCCACGCGCTACCGCCGCCAGCCATTTCACCGTTGTCTCCTCCATCACACCCACTCCGCCGCCGGTGCACATCACCTCGCACAGCCGTGGAATCCCTCGCCGTCAAATACACAGCGGGAGAGGCACGTCGGCACCTGCAGCTGCTGGGCAGGAATCGCTCCGCACTCGTCCCAGCCACCCTCAACAACACCCCACTCACCGGACGCACGCTGCCAACATCACGCCCGCAGCACGTCGAGGGGACGCACGGCGGGCTCCCGTCCTCCCTCCCCGCGAGGCACCGCTCCCTGGCAGCACGTCAGGGCGGCCACCCGCGCCACGGAACACCACTCGCAGCTGCGTCTCCAATGCTCCGTGTGGGCCACACCAAGGCTGAAAGTCGCATCACCGACAGCCATTCCTCCTCCGGGAAGCACACAGATGCCGGCGACGAGAGACAAACCAGTCGGAGCCGCAGAGGGCACACACCAGCGGCACACGGCCAGTCATCATCGCCATCACTCCTGTCGCTCGCGTGCAGCCTACAGCACAAACCAACTCCCCGCCAACGCAGAGCGGAGGCGAAGAGAGAGACGAGTCACACCGCCACGCACCGGCACCCCGTACGACGGGAGTGGCGTACAACCACAGATCCGCCAATCAGGCACGCCGCCATGAACCGCATCTCATTGTCCTCCCCGTGCTCGTGGCAGCACCGCAACGCCGTGTAGCCGGTGGCGTCGTAGTGCTGGAAGAAGTGCGGCGCAGCAACCGCAAGAGTGGCCGGGCTGCTGTACTCGCGCTCCAACGCGTCCAGCAACAACTGGCTGGACAGCGGCTCGTCCAGCGGGTCCGGCTTCTTCTTCTGCCTCTTGGCGAGTGCAACCGCGTCACGAGGCCCTCCGACGGTGTCACGCCATGTCCCATGAGATCATGGGCACGCAGCAAGCGGCTCAGCATTGTCACTCCGCAGTGAATGGGGCACGGCGCCTCATTCCAGGCGATCACACGCAGTGCACCACGCCCACAACAAAACACGATCGCGCCGCTCTCCCCCGCCGTCGCTCCTCCTGCGACGGTCACGGAAGAAAAGCAGCACCCGCATGCAACTGCCGGCACAGAGCACTAAAAGACCATCCAGGTGCACTGCAGTACGTACACCGCGTGCGTGTGTTCGTGTGTGCCTGCAAGTACGCAAAGGAAGAGAGGAGTAAAACACGTGAAGCCACAAAACAAAAGAACACAGCAGAGATGCAGGACAAAAAAAAAACACAAGAAGAAGAGGCCTGACGGGACCCAAGACGGCAATGCAGCCCAAGCGGTGGGAAATGACAGGAGATTTATTTTCCATTTTTTTTTTTTCCAAAGGAGAACGCTCTCCGTGAAACCGTTATTTTTTCCCGCACTCACAGAAGCACAAACAAATGAATCAATCAAACAGCTTTTCCGCAGAACATCCTTTTTCTGGTGCTCCAAAGCGTTATGTCTGTTTTTGTTGTTGTCTCTTTTTTCTTTGGTTTCCTGCAGGAGATTTAGAAATAAGACATATTCTTCCCCGTCGCTTCAGCCCCCCGGCGTCCACGCGTCATTTATGTTTCACTGGAGACGCTCCGTGCGTCTCTTTTACTGTTGATGACAATTTCTTGTATTTTATTTTTCCACCGGCGCCACCGGCGTGGCGGGAAATGCCAAGAGCGTCGGTGGTCGGTGGACGGAAACAGTGAATGGACCCCGCCACCCCCAGAAGGCTCCACCACAAAATAAATAAATAA